TTTAGTACACACGGAGTGTAAGACATAGAAGACACATTTTCAATGTAAAATTAGATATAGGTGTACAATTTTGAAACTTCATTTCAATTTTATCTTCAATTAAACCACACATAAAAGTTAATTAAAATTCTAATTCATAACTCAAAACCTGTGTAATTCATGACTGAGCACCAGCTACTTTTACCTAATCTTGGTGCGATCGTTTATTTTGTACTCTACACCTCTGGTTGGTCTTGGTGTGATCTTTATTCTGTACTCTACACCTCTGGTCTGATCTTGGTGTGATCGTTTATTCTGTATTCTACACCTCTGGCCTGATCTTGGTGTGATCTTTTATTCTGTACTCTACACCTCTGGTCTGATCTTGGAAAGGAAATAACGTTTTTTTATTATGATATTTAAAACTAATGATTATCAAAATTAGAATTAACAAACTTATGGTGTTTTTAAATGAAATAAAATAACTGAAATTCGACTGAGATGAAAATGTTAAACCACATTAAGAAGTTCAAAGTAATATTCACTCAGAAGAGAAATATACTGACTTATTGAAGATAATCTGGACACCCACTGAACATGGAAAATACGGAGGTAGATTAGAAGTGTCAATGTGTGTGCAAGATACCAAAACATCGCGAATCATGTAAATTTTAGAAGAGGAAAGACCTTAACGAAGAAGCCAATCAACGTGAATAAATATCCCACAAAAACTGTCGAAAGAATTACCAACAACACAACCCAAAAGACAATGAAACAACACTACACTGCTGCGTACCGTACATTTCAGATATCAGCGACAAAATAACTAACATTTGGAAAAACTCATAACCAAACATGACATTCCAGTAAACACTAAATTCATTCAAAAATCAGGCACAAAACTAAAATCTATACAATGTAAAAACTACTCCGACAAGTATAATACTAACGTCATATATAAAATACAATGTAACAACTGTCATAATTTCTATATAGGCGAAACGAGCCGAAAAATGGAAACCAGATTCAATGAACACAAAAAAATCACCCTTTCGTGTTTTTGAACATTGTATCTCAAATAACAACAGTATAATCACAGAAAACACAAACGTATTAAGTAAATAAACCAAAGTAAACAAATTAAAGAAGCTTTTCTAATACAAAAATTTAAACCCACATCAAACCAACACCAAGGAACAGATTTATATCTGTACTAATTATTCCTCAATGTTAACTACCATATAATAGGTTAAATATTTACAACGCCCCCTGAAATCTTACGCCTATCATTACTGTCGTCTCCACGACACGTGATCAATAACAGTCACTCTTTTAAATGTCGTTCTCAACCTGATGATGACCTAAGGATGTCGAAACGTTGTTATTTATTTTGTGCTTTTCAAATATAAATTTTCTATACCCATATCAGCCGTCTCTACTATACATATATTTACTTCAAGTGGGTTCCTCATCATCACGAATAATTCGAGTATATTCTCCACTTCATCTTCACAAGAACACTTGTTAACCTGTTCAAAATTTTATGAATTGAGAAAAAGTTATGAATGACATTAATATTTAAAGAGCTCTTATTGGTGCTTTTAGCTATCCTTAGGCCAGTTCTGAATACCGAACTTTGTAAAACCTCCAGGTGATGAATCTTAAACATGCGTTATTTTGTTGCTAGTTAATATATTAAATACAATCTCTAGTTTTTATACTTTACAAAACTGAACTACGAATATCTTGGATATAAGTTTTTCAAAACTACAGAGATTTTATTCCTGTGGCATGTAAGTGACTGTGTTACTTCTCGACTTCCGTTCATTCTAAAACAATAACATGGCTCGAACAAAACGGACAATCCGTGATAACAGAAATATCATCTTCCACCATTTAGAGGCGGATAATCGTACCTAAATATATCGATAAACCGGACGAGCTTGTTATGACGGATCACGAGGAGGCCGGTGAAAATTACACACAAAAGCTGAGTACACCAACGACCCTTTTCCTGTTTGTCACCCCATTTATTATAAAACGCGATAGCTACAGAATATATCGTTCTTTAGTACAAGTAGTAACACTTGTTGTAGCTTAACTGCTCCATGAAAGTTAAATAAATGCGGAATATATTAAAGGGGCTTAGATGACGATATGATTAATTAAAACACTGTTTAACTTACATTCAAACTAAGTTGTTTCATTATTTTAAAATATGTGTTAATGAACGTCTGGTATTAAGATTAATATATTACTACTTCTAGGACTAACATAGCACAATTAAATTTGCATAAGCTAAATCTAAGCCTAAAATAAACAATTATTATTAGAAAAGCTGAATGAGAGTGGATAGGAATTATATATACATTATTTAGTGAACAACGTTTATTAGCTGCCCCTATCTGATATTATAAGACAAGCGACTTACGCAAAACTGACATTACCAAAAACGCGTGCCGCACTGTAGATTCGATGTTCTGTGATTGGCGCCCAGTTACGGAAAAAAAATTAATAAAAAAAAATGGAGTTCCGCACTTTAAGTTCGTGGGTTTGTTATAAAAGTGACTGTCACTATTCGATTAGAATAGCCTACGAGTTGGAGATGATGGTGTTGAATAGCTGTCTTCTCTCTAATTAGGAACGACGGAGGCAGATAATTTCAAAGCCACAAAAAATCATATCTGCAATTATGAAATTTTTGGTCTAAAGAGGAGTTCTTCAAATTCAAAACATCGAAACCAGAAATATGAATTTGTATTCCCGTTTCGTGAAGAGCATGTCAAAATCAAGACATTGAAATCAGATCAGAACGTGTGATTTTTTCGATCTTGAGAAAAACAGAAATTATTAATAATCTTGAGAAAGTGGGGATGTAGTTATTACATTTTATAAATAACTTTGTTTCTTCAACAGTGATAAAAATTGTTGTATTCGTATTTTTTGAATTTTATTGGAAAACTAGCTGGAGTACCCGTCCCCTGGACGGAAGTTATGTAAATTCATGATTAATGAAATATTATCTTAGGACTTGAAAAGTTGCTTCCTTTATACGTAATTGTAAAAAACGCTCATAAAAACTGCAAAACACAAAATGTGAAACCGAAAATTTGTATCTATCTCCGCATGACCCAACAAACCTTTAGGACAAATTTGTTGAAGATCCATCAAGAGAGGACAAAGTAGTGGTGGTAAAAACCGCAAAACGCAAACTACAAACCTGAAATTTTGTACGAACCCCCGCATGGACCTAATGAACCTCCATACTAAATTTGGTGAAGATTTATCCACACCCTGCGAAGTAGTTACATGGACAGACAACAGACAGTACTGTTATATTTATATAGGTATCTATAATCTACCAAAACTTATATCAGGACAAATTCCTACATGAAAAAAATGTAATAAAATTGAAGACAATGGGTAAGCAATCATATCAAGCTGGAAAAGTTGGTCTTAAATGTAGTGGGTTTTTCAAATCGCTTGTGCCTATAACAAAGTTCAAAGTTATAAAAGTTCTTTATTTTGTTACCAAGTGTCAATTTTACAGTTCTGCCTGAGAAGTGATTCAAAAGTTTTTGCTGTAACGCTAACCCTAGTGAAGAAATGTCTTTGGGATTTCGAGAAACTGATCGTAAGAGTTACTTAGTAAACAACTGTTATGATGTGAACTCCTTTTACAAGCTGGCAAAGCATGATCATAATTAATTAGACCTGTCATAATACAGTAGTATTATATCTATCATATATTCAAGCACTAAATTTTATATCTAGATCCTTAGGGAGTTTCAAGAGTTAGAAAAGTGTATAATACTAGTATTCCAACCACACTGTATTCGTCAAATCCACTGCCGACGACGCGTTTCACTCAATCTAAAGCTCTTCAGGCCGACTAGGATGCAACAAACACAGCAGTAGGCCATTTGTTACAACGACAGATGTTATGGTGTGAACGTCGGCCGGCAATGGATATGACAAATATAATGGTTGAAATTTTATTATACACTGTTTGAAAATATAATAGACATAATACTAATGTCTTATGACAAATATAATTAATTATACTCATTAAAAGAAGTAATAAGTAATGAAACTTTGTTTATATTTTTTCTAAAATTCATTACAACTCTATAAAAAAATACGTAATTATTATTTAGACAACAATTATTCTTATATTGTTTAGAAAGTAACTGTTCCTGTGTTTGTATCAAACAATAGTTCTCATATTCTATTGTTTGATACAAACACAGGAATAGTTACCGTCTAAACTTCTTATATTGTTTAGACGGTAATTGTTCCTGTATTTGTATCAAACAATAGTTCTTATATTGTTTAGACGGTAATTGTTCCTGTATTATTTAGACAGCAATAGTTGCTCTATTATTTAGTTTCCTTCGTGTTTTTCAAACCTTTCTATTGATGACCAAATCACAACCCGACATGTTTGTCTTTGATTTACGTCAATCCATTCGAGTTATACAACTAAATCATTAACTGGAGAGTGTATTAGTAAGATATATGGATTCCTGAGGCTAATTAAGTTGAAGTAGCTAGCACATTATTAATATAAAAGCAAACATATATATATATATATATGGATCATTACAAGAAATTACAAAGATTTCTTAGAGATAAAGCAGGAAATAGTATTGTCACAGTACACTGTAGAAGTTCCTTTCGTATGGACAAATTCACTGAGACTCAAGGCCCTGCATACTCCATCAAATTGAAGATTCGGTTCAGTTTTACATCTATAAAATTCACTTCATAACATTTATGATAATGGTGCTTCAAAGAATGTCTGTCTTTAAAGGTGTCTTATTTATGTACTTTTTCCCCTTATAGTTTTTTCTGGAAAGCGCCTTTTACTCGTGCGTGCATTATATCAGTATCTGGTCTATCTAAATCAGACTTTTGCTGTAGATGAATCAAAGTGTCTCTAAAAGGTCTACATGTATTTCTCTCAATACGTTTTACTCATGGAACAATCAATTAATAAGTATACAAGAATGTTTACTTACTTTGTGACCGAGTGCAAAGATTCTCTCTCCCTCTCTCTCAGGAATGAAGATGAATTTGTTAGTTTTGGAACGACGTAGTTCTACAAATACGACACTCGATGTCACATGTCTACACGTGAATATGTGGCTCAGAATACGAAGTTTCACCTGCGTCAAATAAATTTCTGCACTAATCTTTTAAATGTTTATCAGTTAGTATATTATACTGTATGTCTTATTCAAATGTTTGCACCAAAGTCCAGGTAATTCATGGAACTTCACGTATAGTTTACAAAATAAAAATCCAGATATCATACTATCAGAACCAATCACGAAGATTTAAAGTATTAAAACCTTGCAACGTGATCTGGAAATTTTATATCAAGATATTTGGCACTTTCAAGTCAGAGTGATGAACTTAGAATCTGATTCGTATCCAGTTGGTTTCTTATTAAAGACATCACGCAACATCCTTTATGTTTATTTGCACCATATCAGATTGTAGATGTACACTTTGAGATCGGTATGCACGAGAAGCGAGGAATTTTTTATCTCCAAGTTAATCAGTAAATATTATGTTCGATTAAATTCAAACACTCCAAACAGATATATTATATTATATTGAGTACGAATGAAACATTACTTATACTACACAGTCTACATACCCATATTTCTTTAACTCACAGACAAGCAATATTTTAAAACAATTTTCTCACTCATCTCCGAAGCTCAACATTTGTTTTTCGAACTGTACTTATCAGTGTAAGATACTTTTACTTCACCAATAAATCTGAAGAAACTAATAGAACACATTTCTGTTATCAGCAGTATACGATATCGACAGCAGGATGCTTCGTTGTTGTTGTTCCGGCCTCTTCTATCTACGTCTGTAAAGCAAATCTGTCTCTACATCGATGTCTAGAACTTGTGTGAGCTCGTGCCACTGCACTACCTTCTACAGTTGCTGTAGCCTTTCTATTGATTTTTGTACAGAGCTTTCTCTTAAGTCCTGGTTCTGCATGGAATTATGGGTTTTCATAATTCCCTCCCCTCGCTTTCTCACACTTTCGTGTTTAGTTTCCCCTTTTCGATTTTCCTGATTCAGCCTGGAATTGGTTTGTCTGTCGCCGTGGCAGAATCTAGCCTGATGGGCAGCCAGATATCTCTCAACTTATGTAATATAATGGTGTTACCATGACATACGCATTAGCGGTGTTACATTGATATACTCATTAATGGTGCTACAATGACATAATACGTCTCAATCTCTGGTTAGATGGCGATGGGCAAATACTCAATCGGTCATGACAATAAAATTTTTAAAAAATCTAATAAAAGTTTTTGGAACACCTTTCCTATGGGTCTTTCAAAGAGAAAAAAGAAAAGAGAAATCAAAGAATCATCAATTTATATTTAATATATTAACTTGAATTCTCGAATATATTACTCACCAAAGAAACAAAGACATATCACGAAAAACTACCTTCGTATTTTACCTTTTTGATTTCGATGGTGGCGCTACCTTCATTTACTCCGAAACAAATTCATTTCGTACCTCGTACAAAAAATGTTGAAACGTTTGTCATTTCAATTCGCCAAGGCAGACTCGCAACTTTTTAGTTTAGTTATAACTAAAAAATAGAATCCGTTGCCGAACAAACACAAAAGTTTACTGGAGAATGATGCTGTAGAGCCAGTAACACACTTGTAAGACGAAGTATTTTAACTTTTGCTGGAATATGATGGGAGTGGGCCTGTTACACTTAAGTCAGCTAAAACTTTAAATGTTGCTGAAGGATTGCAGTGTAGGAAATGTAGCGCCAGTAAATCAACGTGCTAATTGTAGCTGGAAGATTTTTGTTTGTTTGTTTGGAATTAAGCACAAAGCTACACAATGGGCTATCTGTGCTCTGCCCACTACGGGTATCGAAACCCGGTTTCTAGCGTTGTAAGTTCGCAGACATACCACTGTGCCACTGGGGGGGGGGCAGCTGGAAGATAAAAATGTTGGGTATGTAACATTTGTTTCTGTAGAGACAACACTTAAAGTATGCCTGACGAACAACGACGCTGGGTATGTTTGTTTGTAATTAAGTACAAAGCTACACAAAGGGCTATCTGTGCTCTGCCCACTACGGGTATCGAAACCCGGTTTCTAACGTTGTAAGTCCGCAGACATACCGCTGTACCACTGGGGGGGGGGCGCTGGGTATGAAAAACATTTGTGAGTCAACACTGAAAACAGTATATTCTGTAACTTGAGATGCATGAAAAGGTAAACAGACCTTTGTTCATCTGTTAAATTATATGCAATTCAAAAGAAAGGACTAAAGTACATTAAATAAAACGAAAGGTAAGTGTGCAGCGTGCACAATTTCGAGAAAGAATAAAAAGTTAAAAAAAAAGTTTAATATGGAAAAAATTGAGAACTTTGCTTGAATCGAAACTGAAATTTAACGAGAATAAATTAGTAACTAATCTTCATGTATTTTCGACAAAGTTTCTTTTGCCACCACACAAAATAAGCAGCAAGTTCAATTGTTATCCATTAAAAATGGTCTATGTATTTAACCTTTGACCTTAACGAATCAATTGAGGCATACAGTGGAGGGGGGGGGGTAATAACAGAATCGGTCCTTACCGTTAGCTTGCCTATTACTTTTTTCTAATGCAATTTTTGATAGTGTTAGGTCATGGCCTAAGTGTGCAGGGTGTCCGGATATTATGTCAACAAATTTATCAACATTTCTCTCTGAATGTGTTGAAACTTGTTGAGCCCGTGTCAAACTCCAGGATGTTTCATTCATACTGCAATGTACCTCCGTTGGTCTTATGGAATTCTAGTAATCATTGCAGCAGAGGTTCAAGGCTTCTGCTTCTTAAACACGAGTGAGCAATTTTGTCAACATAATTTCCAGACACATTGTATATTTCAAACCTTACACTTCTGTAATTTCAATTTCATTATACCCACAATTGTTAAACGCCCCATGTGATATAGACTAATCTATTGGATGAAATATAAATTCTACCCCCCCCCCCCAGTGGCACAGCTGTACGTCTGCAGACTTACAACGCTAGAAACCGAGTTTCGATACCTGTAGTGGGCAGAGCACAGATAGCCCATTGTGTAGCTTTATGCTTAATTCCAAACAAATAAATAAATACCAAATATAAATCCTATAAGATCATAATGATATCATTTAGTATATCATAGATCTACCTACATACATATAAATATATGTCGCTTACACAGTTCGAACAAGTTAACCCTCAAATTACCAACTTGTACCAACAGTAGGTTTATCACATTGAGAATTTTTACCTGTTACAGCAGTAACTACGGCATCTTATGCATGCAATAAGATACACAATAAGGTCAAGCCCCTATAATTTAGCTGTAGCTGTCTATAAAGTTTGAACTACAGATCAGAAGAAGGTCAAACGTTCGACAGCTACTCTTAACCACATAGCGGAATTAATTATCACTCTTATAACGCACCACGTCTTTCTGATCCATAGCTTGATATGATAACCACAAGGCCGCGCTCGTGTTCTCACTATAATGAACTGATAATAAAAAAAACACTCGTTGTCTGCATAGAATACATAAAGAACCCTAACTGTGACTAATGGATTAATTACACTATTGATGCTTTATGGATCTATTTTGTGTGTTCAACTCTTGTTATTTGGGACTTTGTAACCATTAAAGTCATGAACCTACAAACACTTTGCTACATAGAGTTTATAAACGTTCTTAAAATCCTATAAGGTCCCATACGTAAATTCTACGGTTACAGTAAACATATTATATACTTGAATCCTGTAGAAGATTCGATCTGTGGCGATCAGTTTTTTAGTGACTTGCGTATTTATTTATTGTGATAGGTTCTGGTACTTAATCTGATGTTTAATTACAACAAGACCTTTTAATGCGGTTGCTTGGAAATGGGGTAAATATTATGCTTGATATTTTCACAACTCCTACATTTTACGAACATTCAAATATAAAGTAAGCTTTGACAACTTTCAGTATGCGCGAGACGTAAAGGTTTATTTGTCAGCAGGTGTTTTAACACTCTTATTTACGAGTGCAAGTGTTTAAACGTAATAAAACAGACAACCATTTTATATATTTTGCAATATATTTTTTCGTACAAAAAGGTGCATAAATCTTTTTATACATATATATATTTTATTCTGATAAAGATTTCTTCTTTCAAAAAGTTTTGTTCTTGTTCTTTTACCGATTTTTATTTATCTATTGTTATTGTGTGTGCGTGTACTTTGCTGTTTCTCGTGTTGAAACCCAGAAGATTAATTTAGGTCATACTTTTGAATCGGGGAGTCTTGTGGCGCAGGTATATAAGGAGAATAAAAACAGCACACATAGTATTGAGAAAATACGTATAACACTGATGAAATATCGTAAACTCCAAGCCATAAAATATCAAGCTATATTTTGTTAAAAGAACAAAAAGAGGAGGACTGAACATACTTGATAATGCTCTGGCATGATGACTGTTCCTTTAATAAACATTAACCAGTAAAAGCTAACCATAGTGTAATTAAATCTTAGACAGCAACTAGAGGTACGGATGTTGTTCACTTAATGATTAACAGACTGCAATTTCCGACTTGTGTAAGAGGAATTATGTGTATTTCTGATGCAGTTTTATCGTTTATATTAACTGTTTAAATGAATATAAAGTGGAGAATCATACTATAAAATTAACAGCTTCAAGAGAATATTCCTTATGTATTTGTTCTACGCACTTTGTACAGTTAACATTACTACTATGGGAAAACAGCTACTGTTTGATAATCGATGTTTTATAGTGTCTTTGATTTCTTTTTTTTATACGTCCCCTAGCTAATGCTTAAGGTTTTGTGAACAGTAGCAGAAAGCATGATTTCTTGTGGTAATTCTTTGCTGAAATGTTTAACACTGAACAATGAGCTAGCTAGCCTGTTTATAGTCTGTATTCTTGAACAATATCTTACACCGATAATGATCAGGTTAGAGACATTTCTTGCATGACTACCGAACACTGTGTAGACGTGACTGAAATTGTTACTATTCTAAACAGGCTATTTTCAAGTTTCCAAGCATCGCTTTCGTTTGTCAACGTTCAAATCGAACGATGACAGATCAAATGACTGTTGTGACATCAGCCAATAGGAAAAAGTAATTCTCTTTACAGTTGATCTGAAGTAATACATAAGAACCTGCTTGTCATTTCAATTTTGTCATCTGGTGTTAAAACCAAATGTGTTTTCTTTTTCAAATAAGCAAAAAGGGAAAGATCTGAAAGCTATCTGTAGATGTACTTCCGAGTAATTTTGCTAGGTGATGTTACTAGTTTTTGTTGGAATATGGTTTACACAATAATTTATTCAGTCGAGACGAATCCAAGGACACGGTCTTTTAGCTTTTTTGTTTTAAACTGTAGTTTATTGGTGATGAACATGTGAACTGGCTAGTTTGACTCTCTATTAGTTTGATGAAAGCTAATTCAGAATAAAATAGGATGGCTAAAGGGCAGTAAAAGGAGCAGTGAAAACAATAGGACAAGGGATTGTAAATTGAAATTTTGGTAGCGTAGGAGTAGTCTGCAGTTTCGACACTATTAGCTTTCAGAGAGGTTGGTTGGCTTTTGGAATGAGCTGCCTTCAAGAGTGGTGGAGGCAGAAAATTTAACTGAGTTTAAGAAAAAGATTGGATGAATACATGAATTATAAGGGATGGTTGTAGTTTGTAGCTGGAAGAGACATCCTTGATGAACTTAATAAGCTCTTTTATGTCCCCTTAAAATTTTATGAATTTTTATGAATTTATAAGATTACAATACATAGAACATCAATGTATTTTGATATAAATAAAGTTTGGACTCGTTCATTTGTAGCCTGTTTCATTTTTTAAAATATTTCAGTTATAATCATTTAATTGATTAT